GCCAAAGCAAAAAATGCAAATAGGAGCGGCGCCGATCGAAGAAGTCGAGACATCCTTCTATCGAATGCGAACAAGGCACTTATTAGACCGAAAATAAGCACTAGAGCAATTCGCAGAGCAATGGCACAACAATAGCGAGTTCCTCTGATGCACTGCGTCGAGAAAACTAAGAAATGCCAACGTAGCTACAAGTAACATGAGTAAGGTCATTAATCCGAGAAAAAAGACGCCCTGTTCCATAGGTTGTGCTTCCTCCCGAACTCCCTTCAGCACGGTCTTCTTACAGCAAATCCGGTGAGCTCAAAATCTCCTAGTCAAACACACAACAGGACAAGGACGAGTACAAACAATACAGACGAATTGGACGATATAAACAATACAAACAATACGAACATCATGAACAATACGAGCCAATAAAAATCAATACAAACAATATAAACAATACAAACAATACGATCAATACGAAGAAAATTATTAGGTAGCATCCACACTTATAGGGGTTTCAACAAAAGTAGGTATAAACTTGAATGATGAGTAATATTGCAGAGGCATATAGTTCTCAATTCGGCCGAGCAACCCCACTGTGTTGACGAAACCTAAAAAGGGTATCGACAGACAAGTTCCCAAAATCTTTTTCACCAATTGTCTGTCAGATTGGCTCATCAGGGGAAAGATAACCCCAGGTTATCGTGTCGAAAGGGAAGAGACTGTACGAAGAATAGGATAAGAACGTACAGAGGGGAGAAAAAAGGAGGATGGAGGGCGGACAGAAGGAGGTGATGCTGAAGAAGGAAGGAAGGTGGGGGATCAAGGTGCAATGATATGATTTCATTACCGTCGGAGCTCCAAAGCTTGAAGCAATTGCAGCCATGGAAATCACTAGTAATTGCACTACAGCTGGCAGACAATCAAGAAGGAAAACGCGCCACGTGGTGAAGGTAGAGGACGACCAAGTATCAGCTATGCACGTGCCCACCCGATGACTAAATGAAGAGTAAGCGAGAAAATTGAAGAGCCAAAGTGCTAGCGAACCAAACCAGCGCAGCGAATCGTCAAGGAGCTAGATCGAACCATCGAGAAGGATGACCTCGCACCTCCTTGACAAAAGCAGGGCGGGACCATGCGTTAGCAACAGTCCATCTGCGACGCTTCACCGATCGCCAAAGTCGAGAGGGATAAAATACTGATCCTACTCCAATAAGTACCCGTAGAACTATCGAACCGGTATTCCGGGAAGGCGAACGAGTTAACTCGGATTCCAAGGACCACCAGTTGAAGGACCAGGTCGGGTAGGATACAGTTCCTTCCGGTATTTTCGACGCTACAAAAGTAAAAATGTAGTTGGCTTGAACCATTTACCTTAGAGCAAAGGGTAGGGTCCCATCATTGGCAAAAACCATGGGTAAGGCTTTTTAATACCTTGATTTTTATTTTTTATTTTTTATTTTTTTTTTATTTTTCATTATTTTTATTTTTATTTTTTATTTTTATTTTTTTACTTTTTGCTTTTTATTTTTTACTTTAATTTTCTTTATTTTTTATTTTTTATTTTTTATTTTTTATTTTCACTTTTTTACCATTTTTTTGGTCAAACACAGGTATATATGCAGAAGGATATATGCATATAAAGGGGTTATTTTTTGGGGGATATATGTATTTTTATATGTATGTATGTGTGTGTGTGTGTGTGTGTGTGTCCCACCCCTGTCCCGCTGGTGAGTAGACCTGTGAGGCAGGCAACGGGTACCTGCCTCACAGGGCAGGTATCCGCCAGCTACCGTCACAGTCTTGCCGGTTGGGACTGAAACAACGAACACCGCTAACACCAACACAGACATACAAGTAGGCACAAAAGGGGACCATACCTCATACCTGAAGCTTGATCGAAGTTGCTACGACATCAACCCGCGGCAACATATACGAACCAGATTAGTTAAGGACCTTATGCACTCTTTTCAAACACTTTCTGAGACCGAAACCGTTCCCCACCATATCATTCACAACCAACATTATTTCACTGGCAGCTGTGCTCGGATCCGTGCATAATACAAGGATGATTGCCACCTGGGGGATCAGGATGTTTAACGACTGTTGCTCATGTCTGTTGGACAAATACTTCACATATTTGACCTTCGAGAAGGGAAGCAATCTTTTTTTGTCAAACTTCGAGGTACAAAATTGCCCCATGTGCTCCGAAAGAACTATAATCTTTGAGTTTAGGAACTGCGTTTTTATCCCATATATGTCTCCATCATGAGAGGTAGTGAATACCTTAGTTTGATTTTTTATTTCAATGAGATGGAGAGGGTAGAGATAAAAAATGTTAGAATCAGACCTCTGCTGCTTCAGATCGAGGAAGCGCAGAATGGAAGGGTTGTTGACACATTGTAGATCGTCAATATACCTGAACATGAATTTGAATAGTGGTAACACATGCAGACATTGCAGAGCATTATTATCGATAATGCGCATGATGAGAGAAAATTCATACTTGAAAAAGTAAATATTGCAGAATGACGGAGAACACGGTAACCCCATTGGGATGCCACAAATTTGTTTCCAAGATT